CAGTTGTTAATAATCTAAAAATGTCTGGAAATAGCAAATGATGTGACCCCATGTCTGTAGTACACATTGCAGTTTAAATCTTGATTGAAATATAACTGTATAGTTTCAGAGTAAAAGTTATAACAGCCCCCAAACTGTCAAAATGTCGCTAATTTTTCTCAACTCACTCCATACGACGAAATTAAATATTTGTAGTCCGAAATCTGTCTGTATTACCATCAGTAAGGTCTCCTCTAACTGCTAGAATAATAAACATGAAAATATTTCAACTATTGAGATTTATAAAATTCCATTTAACACAAAAAAAACTTTCTCTCGCTTTTTTGTACAAATCCACCTGGTATGGAATGAGTTCAAAAAATTTTGGGAGATTTATGAGTTATTTATGAAAGCCACATAGATGCCAAAAATTTTTATAACACGCACATAAAATTCTATGAACAATTCACAATTCTAGAGTGTTTTAAAAATATTCTGAAATTTAAAAAAATTCAATTTTGGAAACGCTTTGGTAAAAATCGTTATCAGCGGGACGCCCCACCCTCAGTAGGATTCTGTTAATCCTTTGACGAATATGATGAACTACAAGAACATGCCTTAATTCGGGACGTTACAAGTATGTAATCATGGTGCGGGAGGAAAAATTTTGGAGTTTTAATCATACTCGAAAAGCTGAAAATTCAAGAATTTGACATTGGGAAATATGCAAATTTTCGGTAGGAGAATGTTCAAATTTAACATTTTGTGGGCATGTGAGAAATCCCTCAAAATTGCAACAAATTTTAGGTGGCAGAGAGAAAATGGTGAAAATCAATGACCTCCTAGAAACGACAATTGTCGTCATTCCACACCACAAGTTTTCGGAACGACTTTTGTCTTCATCGCGAATTAAGCCATTTCTTATAAAACGGCAGTTGTCTTCGTTATGACTTAAAGGGTTAAATATGATCGCTGAGAGTATTCATGATTTCTTCGTATCCACATGTATATATTAATTTGTAAAGTAATATATTTATGTACAGCGGCTTTTTAATTTTGTACATAGACTTTGTAATAGCACAATATCCGATCGGATATTTGTTATCTTAACGGATGTCTGCTATCGAATCGAGTATTTGCTGTCAGATCGGATATGCCAGTGTCGTTAAAACTGCGTTGCTGTTTTGTCGTAAACTAACTATTTTGAAGAAGCTTGACCACTAAATACCGTCTACGTAATGATAAGAATTTTTGAAAACCGTCAGTCACAGATAAAACTCAATTATGAAGATGTCCACCGTTGACGCGATAATACTATCATGCATACCTAAATCTCAACTTACCCTTGCGCATCCCACTGACAAGGTGCCCTTCAATTTTGAGGATTTCATTCCACCCGTTGACCGCATCCTTTCCGTACAATATGACCATAACGTGGTTGACAATTACATAGTACGTCATTACGCCCAGTCATGCTAAGATTAACGCGATGGGCAACGGCATGTAAGGCTTGGCCAAGTTGGAGCGCCCAATTCGAAAGAAATTGTAGAATAATGCTAAAGCCGTTGTTGTATCGACGGCGAGGAACATGTTTAAATGCCACATTTTAACCCTGACGTCCCTCAATGAGGATTTGTAACGGGGACATTCCCGCTTTTTGTCCCACTGGATGGGACATTCCGTAAAAAATCGTAATTTAGAGCCATGTTCCACAAAACCAGAGATCACGTATAACGGAGCCATTTGTAAGGATGGATAAATAGCGATTAAGTTAGGTAAATCGAGAGCCTTGTGCTCGATATAAATGGCATATGGATCGATTAGTTATAGTTGCAATTGCAAATTTAAAAAATATGTGTGTTAGCTTACCCTCCAATTTTTTTGTTTGCGATTGGGAATCTAGATTTAGTTATTAATAGCATACAATTATTAAGACCAAAGATGTCCCGCCATTTTTATGTTCATCGGTTGTTGTACGAGGGTTTTTAGGCATTCAAAGTTTATTCTTTAGACTAGGGTCCGAGTTAATGATATACCCGCCATTGAAATTTTGGGATAAGGTTAGAGTTTCAATAATTTTGTAAAATTATATCAAACTCCAAAAATGATTATGGATTCTCTTTCGTCAGCTGAAAGTATAGAACTTCAGTTAGATTAATCGGTAATTGATTACGATAATTAGCTAAAACCTACCTGAAGAGCCTGCCTAATAATATCAAACTATAATAGCAAATTATGTATGATTATTATTAAGGATAGTTTTACAACAAAGCTAGAAATGCTGTTTGCCAAAAAATTGTTTGACTCTTTTGTAGATAACCTTCAGGGGTATGAGCAAGAAGCAGGTGGTATTCAAATTGTAGAATAGTATGTTCTTAGTACGTATTATCAATAAACCGTAGTAACGTTAGAAGTACAGTCAATGGAAAAAGTATTGGCAACCCCCACGTCAGCTAAATAAAATTGGCTATAACCATGGAATGCATCATACAATTGGTATGGAAATTTGTACCCATTTAGCAAATATAATGTAGTTTTCGATTATAATCATGATTTATTAATTAAAATTAGATAAACACAGTTTTTAAATAATTTGTTGGAAAATTTGCAAAATTTACCCGCAAAAAGTATTGGCAACCCTTAACTTAAAAAATCATAAATCAAAGAAACGCCAATTTTATTATGACAAACTGCTTCTAGTATTACGTAGCACCTCCCCTCGACGCAATACAAGCAAAAATACGTCGTGGAATTGATTCAACAAGTTTCGTTATAACGCTTTTCTATATGGCTGCCCACACTTCCTTTGAACTTTTGACAAGCTCGTTTTTCGAAGAGTGGTTTCCCACCAGTCCCTCTTTTCTGAATCCGGACAATCAGAATCACATCGGGAGACTGTGCAATCAACGAAAGAAGCTTAACCTTTTCGATCTCCAAAGCCTTGCATCGTTAAATTGGCTACATGTTTGGGGTCACTGAATTTTCGGAATATAAAATTCCTTCATAGGTCAGATTTTTATCAAATAATTTCAAATTATCGGTTAGAATGATTATTTGGACCTCATTGGTCATGATTCCATCGATAATGACCAGCTACCTACGCCACGACCTAGTCATTTAACCCCAAACCATAATCGCTCCTCTTCTGTGTTTAGCTGTCATACGAACATATTCGTTTTTGTGAGCCTATTATGGCATCCGCCAGACTTGAACCATTCAATTTGCTCCGAATAAGTAAAATATGCTTATGTCAGACAAGCAGAACCTTCTTCATTCATTGGAAGTCTATTCAGGGTGGTGTTTAGTCCATTCCAATTTATTGAGTTGGTTCGTTTTGGGGACCCTCGCGTCAGTCGGGCTTCTGGACCCTGAAACCCCATGGCATGATTTTTGATTGATCACAATATTGCATGATATGTTGACGCCACAGTTGGTTCTCAAATTCAACATGGTTTTTGGGGTTAAAATCTTCCGATCTCGAGTGATAATTTGCTTGATTCATCAGTGGCTCGTGGGCGTAGGTGATTTTTTTCTTCCGCACCATGGAAAAGTAGAAACTGAGATTGTCATTTTATATTTCTTGGCTACCAATTCAATAGTAAATATGGAAAAGTATGTTTTCTCTTTGATTTTTCGATAGTAAAGCTTTTTTGTGAAAGATACATGATTATTTCTCGCCGCGCCAAATACAGCTCGTTTGATGTCGCCATTTTGGCTCCAGACAACACAACTGTAGACTTAAAATGTAGCTAACGTCATATTTGGTCACCTAATTAACTTACCGTAATAAAATGTGGTAGCTGATTAAGAAAATTGTTTCGCGTAATTAATTTGGCCACATGTTGCCAATACTTTTTGCGGGTAAATTTAGCAAATTTTGCAACAAATTATTTAAAAACTGTGTTTATCTAATTTGAATCAATAAAACATGACTATAATCGAAAACTACATAATATTTGCTAAAGGCCTACAAATTTTCATGCCAATTGTATAATGCATTCTAACGTTACAGCAAATTTTATTTAGCTGGCGTGGGGGTTGCCAATACTTTTTCCATTGACTGTAGCTCACCCTGGAATAATGATGAGGATATAGTTTTGCACCGAAGGTGCAAAATAACCGGATAAAATGGATACAGAATTTTCATATAATCTTGCACCAATGGTACAGAAATTTGATATAATTTTGCACCAATGGTGCAGCCCAAATGGTTAAAATTGGGACTAAATTTTGACACGATTTCAAGGTTAAGGCAACCCCTGCCTTAATCTTGAAATCGTGTCAAAATTTAGTTAACTAAAAATGTCAGTTAATCGTAACCATTGGTGCGGAATACATCGATTCCTCTAATTATTTCGCACCATTTTGCGTTAACAATTGTTTGATACCAATTGTGCTACAAATTAGGGTTAAAATGGCCGTGGGACTTCATACAAAATATCATACAAAATCATACAGTATCATACAAAATAGACAACCTAGATATGTAATTTTAATAGAATTATGCAGCAATGGTGGAAAATAAGCGGAATAAATTGTTAGCCAATTTTGACATAGATTATTGCATACCAATTGGGCTAATTTGGGTTAAAATGGTTTTGGAACTTATTAATTAGCATCAATTGATGCAAAAAACTCGTGAACAGACAGACAGACAGACGGACAAGAGGAATTCAATAGCTCTCATGCTACGCAGGGTGAGCTAATGGGTGTGTTTTATTTGCATCGTTTTCATCATTCCAATCCTGATTTTGGAATGGAATGAAAATTTTTGCGTTTTATTTGTCATGGAAAAATCAGGATTTGGAATGATTTTCACCGAAGTTCATTCGGAATGAACTTTTTTTTCTTCCAACTCGCGAGCTGGAGTGAACATGGAATGATACGGTTTTTATAGCAGTTTTTCGGCTTTTCGTCAATTTGTTCATAAAATAAGCTGCGTATTAAAATTTATTTTAATTTTGCATTAAAAATTAAAAATTACATTATTAGATAATTAAAAATTACAATTAAAAGCCACAATGGCATCATCTAATTTCGTTTGTGGAATTTGTGACGATTCTTTCCAAGACGTAACTGAACTTATGCAACATTTGCAACGCCACAAAGATGAGCAGGCAAGTTACTTCAATTTAATTGCTCTTGATAATTAATTAATGCATGTTTTTAAATATTCCTTTCCAGAATAGAGAAGTGACTGAGACTCCTGAAACGGCTGAAACGCTGGTAAATTCGAAGGACAAGGAGGATACGTCTGAAAAAGCAAAGACCAATCCGCGTTGGACGAATGAGCAGTCCCTCGCCTTGATTAATGTGTACGGGGAGATGAAGGAAGAGTTTGGTGGTTCCAAGCCGAAGAAGCAAGTATGGGAGAAGTTTGCGAAGGCATTAAATTTAGGATTCGATTGGAATCAGTGCCAGGGCCGCTGGAAGACTATGTTGCAAGGTCGTAAACTAGCCGAGAACCACAATCGGACCAGTGGCAAGGATAGAAAGCCATACATGTTTGAAAGCGAGTTAGGTCGAGTTCTGGGAAAGAAACGGAACGTACACCCGTCCCATCTTTTGGAGTCGAGCACTGTTGCAGCAAATTCGTCCAATACCAATAAAAAATCAAGGTGTAGCCGATCGACCCTGAATGGACTCGAGGACGAGGATGGGCAGAATGATGAAAATAAGGTACGTATACATTTATATACATCTACAAAATTCTTAAATTAAGATGTTAAATTCATTTTTTATAGCAGAAAGTCAAAAGAAAACTCCCCAAGAAGGCAGATATGTTAAATTGGCTCACCGACTACAAGATTGACCAAATTTTGGAGAACCAGAAGACAAGAGAGTTGGAAGAGCGTCAACACCAAGAAAAAATGAGTATAATGCTTAGTCTAGTCGACGTTCTGAAGTACATTTCTAACAAAAAATAGAATTTTATTGTTTTTGCCTGTTCACTGTTGAGATTTGTACAATAAGTTGCTTTCCCATTTTCTTAATAACGTATTTAACAATCAACGGTACATGTGTACATAAAGGTAGATATGAACAGTAAATTTGTAAATTATGTGTAACATGTAAATATTTTATAAACCTGTTATTGCATTAAATAATTTCTTAGCCATTCCCTCTTATCCTCGCCTTCAGCCTTAGCACTTGTGTCATCAACATCATCTGACCCGAACTGACTGGATTCTTCCATTATGACGGGTTCCAAGAATTCCTCAATGTTTCCTTCATTTACTAACATGTTATGTAAAATGCAACACATCATGACAGTCTCGTTTACTTCTTTCATATCCTGAATATCCAGAAATTTCAGTCGCCGGAATCTGCCCTTCAATAAACTAAAAGCTTGCTCAATAACCACTAGCATTTTGGATAAAGCCTTATTGAATCTTCTGTGTGATTCCGTGAGGTGGCCATTTTCCTTATACGACACCATAAGCCAAGGTCTTATCGGATAAGCAGGATCCCCTATAATGTAGTACTCAGGATTGCAGAGGGCAGTAGCTGATTGGTATAGTTTTGAATTCCTGAGAACACGAGCATCATGACATGATCCCGGCCAACCCACGTAACAATCCGAAAAGGCCATGTTAAGCGTGCATACAGCTTGCAAAATTACGGCATGAAATTTTTTTCTGTTGTAGTACGACTCTTGATCTTGTTTTGGTGCTGGAATTAGAATAAACGTTCCGTCAATTGCCCCAATCGCCCCCGGAAGTGATCCTGCGCCCTCAAATTCTTGGGCAATAGCACTCCTCTCTTCAACACTTGGCCATTTAATTGATGGTCTTAGTACCTAGTGAGGTTCTAAATTAGTTATATATGATGCGAAATATAACAATTATATTAGTCCCTCAAGTACGCCAGATCGCACTAACGCTAAGCAATAGTAAACCGTAGATTTAGCTACGTTAAATCAGTCTCCAATAGATCGGTACGTCTGAGAAGATCCTACCAGCCAGAGCGTTATCAAAATTGCTTTCAAAAGATCAACAGGCTGTTTTCCACAATTACGTCTTGCAATGTCACGAAATACAGCTGATGTTGCAAGTTTTTGAATAAGAACTTCGACGGATGATCTGGTCAGTCTAAAATGGCTTCGGAAATCGGCATCGGAGTAGCGGGGTACGATGTTTTCGTAATATCCTTGTGACCTAATATGCTCGTCAGGGAACCTGTTAGTTAGCCGGGTGAGTTAGTAGGGCATAATTATATTTGCATTTTATAAATGGCATTACCAATTCGATAGAATCGCAAGTACTGGTGCTGGAATAAGCTCACGATTTGCTTTCGAGGTTGAGTCCAGGTTATAGAGTAATTGAATGGCAGACACTATTTTAATAGGTGTATCCATTTTACCAAATGCTTAAACAAAATTTACTTCAAGAAACTTAATCAACTTATTTTGTGAAATCAAACTGTCAAATAAAACACAAGTTGTTTTATCGTCGCAAGTTTTCCCACCATTCCAAAAATCCGTTTTATTTGCGAGTAAAATAATTCCATTCTCATTCCATTCCATCCAAAAATCATTCATTCCATGGCAAATAAAACACGCCCAATAATGATACATACATTATCCTTCCTAACCAAGTTTTATTCATGACATATGTATTATCCGCGCGCTATTACTTGTCCCCGGCTTATACACAAATTAACGGTGTACTCTCCCGTGTTGTAGAGTGTCGAGCGTGTATAGTGACTGTGTTGTAGACACCGTTAAGTTGTGTATGAGCCGGGGACAAGTATTAGCGCGCGGATAATAAATACTAACCTCGTATTTAGGCTTGGTACCTCATTTGCAGAAATCTCACTATGCCCATTTTCGGAGATACGGGCTTTCATGTTGAATAAACTGTAGTGAATGCGTTAAGATATGGAAATGAGGTGACCGGCTATAAAAATTCGATAGTATGTACATCAATGCAGAGGTCAACGCCGCCGATCTCACGCCTACATACGCCGATGCATTTTACGCGCCGCCGCAGCCGATAAATCTAATTTCCAATTTCTTCAACATTAAGACGCCGTGCCGAGTCGCGCCGACAAATCCCCAAAATTGGCGCCAAAATTAGCGCCAAAATGGTCGGCTTTGACCTTTGCATCAATTACCATATATCTACCGTAAAAGTATATACTTATTATTATGTAGGCATTATTTTGACACCCACAAGCAGATTTTTGAAAATTATCATATCGCTAAGGTTTCTAAAAAAAACTTGGCTTTATTATTTTTCTGATTTGACACAGTATATAATATATGATTATCTGTCTAAATCTATACGCCTTTAATCAATACTTTATTATGAGCCAGAAAATTGTAGTAGTAGAAGTATTTACCAAGTAGAAGTGAAAGCTCAGAGTCATCATGTCTTACATATGCGAGTTGTCATGTTATGTGTGGGAATTAATTATCCCGGCCTACCAGAACCGTATTCCAGGGCGTTCCTTATTGGTCACAATGTAACGTATGTAGTTTAAACTTTCGCTGTATGCATATGCAACTAGTTATACACAAATATTTATGTGTATATCTTCAAATGGCTTTTACACTTCAACAATTTCAAATTAAAATACCAAATTGAGCTGATTTGCTTTTTCGAATTAAATTTGTCCTTGTTCTAAAACAACTTGATAATTCCACAATTACATGAACCTATTTACTTGACCTAATTAACGATAAAATTAAATTATTAGTTGATACCGGTTTATTTAAACGTAAATCGTTGATCTTGGAATTTATAATTCTCAGCCTGCTAACCCCTCCGATGTGCTCAGCAAAAGGGTCACCGTCCAGGAAATCACTTGCTCGAAATACTGCACTTTCGTCTCCTTGTTCAACCGAAGCATTTTACTCCCTGCAAAACCCGCCCACAGAAAAAATGGCTGCATCCCCTTTAACCTCCTCCTGCCACATTTTAACTCCAACTTATCACCCTCCCGCACCATCAAGGCACCCCATCTCCTCTTCATCTCCGTGCTAGCATCCAGCACTCCGTGTGCCAGGGGTAAGGTGAGATTTACAATTATCGCCACCACAACTGACACTGAGACAAAGAATGCATAGGCCGGAAATGGCATCGAATCGTACAATTTAATCGTCACGAAATTCGCCACGACGAAAACCACGAGTCCCATCAAAAGCAAGAAGAACGTACCCAATTCTTGAAATGGGGCTAAAGCATTAACTGCTAGCTGGACTTTTAGATGAGTCGTTATTCTGTCATTTATTCCCTCCATTGAGGCAAAACATGTTTCCGAATCGTGCAAAAGAGTCACAAATATGGATTTCAGCAAATTTAGGGCCGTAATGAAGTAGACGATGATACGTGACAGCATTCTGGCAACTTCGAAGGAGTTGATTGTAATCATAATCAGGCGAAACACGTTGAGACCGACCAAGGCGACCGGGCCGAATCCACATGCACGGGTCATGTCTCGAAGTGGGAAGTAATAAACCGTAGTAACGTTAGAAGTAGCTCACCCTGGAATAATGATTAGGATATAGTTTTCCACCAAAGGTGCAAAATAATCGGACAAAATGGATGCATAATTTTCATATAATTTTGCACCAATGGTACAGAATAAACGGGGAATAACAGAAATTTGATATAATGTTGCACCAATGGTGCAGCCAAAATGGTTAAAATTGTGACTAAATTTTGACACGATTTCAAGGTTAAGTTATGTCAGCCAAGGCTAACTAGAACTTTCAGTCAATCATAACCATTGGTGCGGAGTACATCGCTTCCTCCAATTATTTCGCACCATTTTGCTTTAACGATTGTTAGCCGTAGTAACGTTAGAAGTAGCTCACCCTGTCATGATGATTAGATAGAACTTTGCACCGAAGGTGCTGAATAAGCCGGCAAAATAGATCATAACTCGTATTCTTGCACCCATGGTGCAACAAATCCGGCCAGCCGTTGCACCATTACTGCAGCATTACCGACCATCCGGGATACATAATTTTGAAAACTTTGTCAAAATTGTATGACCATTTCTACCAGATATTTTGCACTATTGGTGCGTTTTGCATCCCTTCTCCCAATTATTTCGCATCATTTTGTGTTACCGATTGTTAGGTACCAACGGTGCTATTAATTTATTACAAAATTCGATTCGGTTTGTTTAATACCAATGGTGCGCCTAACTTATTCAAGAATGGTCAAGGGGATTTTTAAATAGCATCAATTGATGCAAAAAACTCGTTAACAGACGGACAGACGGACAGACGGACAGACGGACAGACAGACGGACAAGAGGAATTCAATAGCTCTCATGCTACGCAGGGTGAGCTAATAAGCGTCAAACTCCATGTATAACTCGGTCGGGAGAATGGCCAAACGATATATAGAAAAGTTTTGAATGATGAATGTCAAGCAGGCTGCCAGTGTCGAGTGGGGATCGTCAAACATCTTGCTGGCTCCACTTTCTAAATATACATAGGTACGAAAATAATGGGACTGCTGATGTCATAACAATTCACTTTAATGTAGTGCTGTTCACGATATCGCGCTGAGCATTGAGCGAAAAAAGCTCGATTGATAATCGAGCGAGCAAAGTTTTTGGATAAACGAGTCGAGCTAAAGCATAATGCATAATTCTGATGCAATTTTTTCTACAGTGGGAATTGCGAGAAAAACTAAATATATTTATATTTATATAACTAAATAAATTTATATTTCTGGATACCATGTCATTATGAATGTCTAAGATGGTAATGAAGGTTATCAATGATTATTTGCTTAACTATACTTTTGCAAGTTGGAAAGCATAATATCAATTTATACTACTGTTAGAATGTTGAAATCAGTGGCATTGCGTTTTGTACTAAATTATGTCAAATGCTTAGACAAATATGCATAAATCGACCGTGACCCATTTTCAACCTTATTATTCCTACGTTTCGTCGTCTTAAAACAAATTTGAAATCGACCCGCCTCGAGTTACACCAGTAGTTTAGCTCGGCTTTAAGCAACTCTGTTGGATTCGCTTATTTATGAGAGCCAGCCAAGAGCTCGCTTCCCTCAGCTCGTGAATAGGACTATTTGATTGCCCAAGTGTTAAGATGAATAGTCATACATCCCTACTTACCCGTGTGCATCCCCATGACCAGCTGCCTTTCAATTTTCAAAAGTTCATTCCACCCGTAGACTCCATCCTTTCCATAAAATATGACCATCACATGGTTGACAATTACATAGTACGTCAGAACCCCCAGTAATTCCACGATTAACGCGACTGGCAACGGCATGTAAGGCGTGTCCGAGGGGGCGCGCAGGGTTTGAACGAGATTGTAAAAAATTACCCCAGCCGTTATAGTATCCACGGTGAGAAACATGTTGAAATGCCACATCTTGACCCTAGAGTTTCCCACGAGAGATTTGAAACGGAGACATTCCCGCTCCCCGTCCCACTGGATGGGGCATTCCGTGAAGAAATTTAACTTTGAGGCATGTCCCCCAAAACTGGATGTCACGTATGGCGGAGCCATTGCTAACTAGGGATAAATATCGAATGAATCGGACAAATGTAGAACAAATCTACTTGCATGTGGATCGATTGGTCGTAAACGTTTAATTGAAAATTTAAATTGCTAGGTTATTTCAGAATCTTTATTACGATTGGAAAACTGGATTGGATTAATGGTAAAAAAATTACTTATCTAGTCCTCAGAACACCCACCTTTTTATGTCCTTCGACTTATTATTTATCCTTACGATTATTTTTTCATTGACAAAGTTGAGGTAATTATTTGTTTATTAAGATTTTGTGATTTTAATTTCCAAAAGATAAGTGAATCCAGTTTGAGTGATTTTTAAGAGCATACCGCAGAGCCATATTTTCCAACTAGTGATAACTTGCGAATAAATCTGGAAATTATTGCATATCGCATTTGGGTCGATGGAGGATATAAAAGTCTTGCCATTAAAAATTTAAAATCGAAGTTGCATAAAAAACTTTATTCCCATTAGGAACATAGATTGGCGTATGAGAACAAAATTATCTAGACCCAAGAAGGCTCACAATTGTTATGTTCATTAGTTTATTCCCTATTTTTATTTTTATGGGAAGGATATGTAAATAGCGAATAAATCTGGCAAATATCTTGAGGATCGATAAGCTAAGAACATTTCATTAAAAATTTAAAAGCTTTGTTTCAGCGTTGCCTTATAAGCTTTATCAGAATTGGAAAAGTAGATTGGCATAAATAACACTGTTGGAAATCGAGTATTAAACGAATACCAAGCGGTATTCATGTGGGACTCTACCAAAGTGGGATTGATTATGGGTAGTTAGTTCCGTGTAGTATTTAATGGCTTGGTATTAAAGCATTACTATATCGGTGGC